GAGAGGGGGAGGCGCTGCCCAGGGTTCCGGCGTCGTGACCCGCGGATGGCGCGGCCCTTTGCTGCAGCACCGGGGAGGGAGCGCGGGGAGGGGACGGAGGGGGCGGCGAGGCCAATTTTGGGTCCGTGGGCTTCGCGGCGACGTCCCGAAGGCCTTTAGCTCCATGGGCCGAAGCGCAGAGGCCGAGGCTGAAGGATGCCATTGGGAGATACAGGGGCGGGAAAGGCGTGTTGGTGAGAGGCCGGCATGGAGCCGGCACCTGCAGAAGAAAGGCCGAGAGGAGAGCCGGGAGGAAGCCCGGGGCGAGTCCCGCGTCCAGTGTGGGTTCAGTCCGCGGGGGAAAGGCATCTGTTGTGTGACCGTGTGTGGCAGCGGGTATAGGCAGCGTCCTCTGCAGACCTCACAGGCCGGTCTCCGTATCCGGCACTATCCTAGGTCCTGAGCACACGGCGATTCTAGGGGCGAAGATAAACAGGAAACACATTAACCAGAAAATAATGTCAGACAGTAAGTGATGTGAAGCGTATAAAACAGGGGAAGAGAGGCTTGTGGCATGCTGAAGGGGTCTCCGTAGGAGGAGGAGCAGAGTCTGGATTGTAATAAGGTAGGCACCCTTAAAGAGAAGTCTGGTTTTCGAGAGGAAACACCTTTTTCTTTTTCTTTTTTTTAAAGTAGGAAACAAAAAGCCATGTTTTGAGTTGAGCAAAGGAACAAATGGAGAAGGAGATTTGGAGGGAGAGGAGACAGGGGGCCTGGGATTGGGGGGGACCTTTTGAGACAGGAAGAAGGGGTGGGGATATGTATACAGATAGATGTTTCTAGGTAGGGACTTGAGGACTTGTATGGTGACAGTTTTCTTTGTGGAATAGAGGCCTTCTTTGGGGCAGAGGAAAGGGAGCCAATGGAACCCCCAGAGCGAGGGTGGGGAGAGGGTGCCTTGAGGGATGGGGGGGGGGGCGTCTCTTTCTTACCAGGCACATCCCTAGACACCTCGTGATGTTGGAGACCCGGCTGCTGTGAGAGTGGAGACTCCTTGCACCCTTTATGATTTCTCTCAACCGGCAGCATTTGGCCACCCAGGGATCTGAGTGCCCACCTGAAGGGTAGTTGATCCAAGTAAGTGGGTTAGCAGGGAAGATATGCCAGAAAGATGGAAGTGGGTGTGGAGGGCAAGGGGCTTGAGGGTCCGCCCAGAAAGAGGCTGAGCCTGGGCTGGATAGAGATGGAACAGGGCGAGCCTTCTGGTGATGGGCTGGAGGGAGGGGGAGGTGGCATTCTCTCTGAGAGCCAAGAGCAGGTGTAGCCGGAGGAGGAAGCAGCGCCCTGGATGGGTAGGAGAGATTGTGATCAGAAAGCAGGATGCTGGAGTGTAACATTTCCGTTGTGGAGCAGTTAACAGGTCTTGGCTGTGACTGCTGGCATGGAGGAGAAGGTTGTTTGAGGAGAGGAGGTCCGGGAGCTGAAACTAGGGTTGTAGCAAGTGCTCAGGAGGATGCGGAGACCTGAGGGGGAGAGGGAAACAGCCAGATGCCTACGCTGTGAGGAAGCTGGGGAACCGATTCTTATCTACGTTAAATAAATAATTATGGGAGATGAAACTGAGATCTAGGGAATTTGAGAGAATTGTTCAAGACACACAGATAATGCACTTAGCTGAGGGATGTGCTCAGGGTAGCAGACCTGGGGTGCTTGGCGGCTTCTCACAGGCAGCACTTTAGGGAGTCACAGCAATCCAAGGTCTGGCCTCCTCATCTCGGGGCTCGATGACCGTGCTCAGCGCACCCAGAGATGTCTTCTCCTCAACAGACTTGCTAGCTGGTCAATAACCAGGGCATCACCTGTTTAGTTTCCCTTCCTAGTGACTGGAATGCTCCATATCCATCCCAGGACCCCTTCTTTGCTTTGGAGAAGCCTCTCGGACGTTGCTGGGTGAGATGGGCGGAAACCAAGGGAAGTCGTGTAACCTGGGTGGGCATTATCCCACCTCCAGCAGCAGGCCACAGCTTCCCAGAGTTTGGGCCTGAATCCTCCCAATCTAAAGTGCTAGGCAGCGGTTCTCAACCTGTGGGTCGCGACCCCTTTGGCGGTCGAACGACCCTTTCACAGGGGTCGCCTAAGACCATCCTGCATATCAGATATTTACATGACGATTCATAACAGTAGCAACATTACAGTTAAGAAGTAGCAACGAAAATAATTTTATGGTTGGGTCACATGAGGAACTGTATTTAAAGGGCCAGAAGGTTGAGAACCACTGGGCTAGAGGAATGCTGTCCACTCTTACTCTTATTTTCTCTGCGTGTCCTCTCACCTTCGCTTTTTGACCATGTTGTTAGGCAAGGGTTCAGTTAGTCCCATTTTCCAAGGGGCCCTGGGAGATAGTCTCCTTCCACTCATGTGTGGGGTCCACCTGTTCCCTTTGATACAGAGGAAGCAAGCATGAGCACAATTGGTTCCAAATTTCTTTTGAATTAATAACTGTTCTATATAACCATTAACTCCAATTATAATTAATGTGAAATGATAAAACTTCTGTTGAGGGAAAAGTAAACTTAAACATTCTGACAGTGTTTTGTGTTTAGGTTTATGTAACAAATGATTATTACATGAATGAAACCAAAATTCCTAAAAGCATTCTAGAAACGAGATCGTAACTGTAACAGGAGTTGATTTTCCAGTTATTTGGAAGCTTGGGAAATTAACACAAAGTGGTAGTAATTCTTGAACAGCAATTAGAATCATTTCTGTACAATATAGGTGAGTTTTTACACAAAGCACCTTTCAATGCAAGAAAAATGGGAAATGCCTGGCCTGTGTGGCTCAGTGGTTGAGCGTCGACCCATGAACCAAGAGATCAAGGTTTGATTCCGGTCAGGGCAGATGCCGTAGTTGTGGGCTCAATCCCCATTAGGGAGCATGCATGCAGGATGGAGCTGATCAATGATTCTCTCTCATCGTTGATGTTTCTATCTCTCTCCCCCTCTCTGAAATGAATAAACACATATTTTAAAAAATGAAAAGAAAAATGGGAAGTGAAGAATGGCTTCAAATATGTGCGATTTAAAATGACATTAACTCAACGATTCTTAGGTCAGCAGTTTAAGCTGAGTTCAACTGTATAGTTCTGCTGATCTTTGCCGCGCCCTCCTGTGCATCTGCAGTCAAATGGAGGGTTGGCTGGTGGCTGGGTGATATGGGGTGGCTTCACTCACGTAGCTGGGGGTTGGTAGGCAGGTGGCTGGGGTCTAGCTTTCTGCTGCTCTTCACAAGGTCTCGGGTCGTCTGGCTTGGTATTATTAGATGGTGATTTTAGGATTCTAATCACAGCAAGAGAGAGAGAGAGAGAACTGCAAAGGCTCTTCTAGCCAAGTTTTGGAACTTGCCCATTATTTCTACTACATTCTCCTGGTCAAAGCAAGTCACCAAACAAGCTCAGATTCGAGAAGTGGGTAAGCAGACTCCAGCTTTTGGTGGGAGGAGTTGCAAAATACTGTGACTTTTCTGCAATCTGCCACATATATATTGCTAATGGTGTGGCAGCACTATTCTGAGTGCTTTGCCTGCATTAACTCTATCATCACATCAATCCAATGAAGTGGGTACTGTTACTAAATACAGTTCACCGATGAGAAAACAAGTACTGAGAAGCTAAGAGACCTGCCCATGTCCGTACAGGTAGTGACACAGCTGAATCTGAGCCCAGGCAGTCTGGTTCCAGAGGCTGCTCTGTTCACCAACAAGCTGTCCTGCCCCCGAGCGAGGCGGGAGAACTTGTTCTGAGCACACCGGATAAAACTCCAGCCTTGTGTACATTAAACAGTGTGCTCACTTGGCAAACAGGGATACATCTATACATACTTTACGAGTGAAAATGTGTAAAGGGAACACTAGCATGAGCTATTTCTTTACCAATTTAGTCTCAGAACTAGGATACTAAATGCATCAGAGAGGCTGCTTTTTCTTTTGTTGAATAAGCAACCAAAAATATCCTAAATCAGAGTTCATAGCAATTGTAACCTTTCCTCTTTGGAGTTCAGTTATTAGAACTTTCAGCAAAAAGGAAGACTTCCGGCAGTCACAGAAAGTGTGGTCAGGCTGCAGGCGCCTTTTTCAGAATGCCCAAGGGCTGCCCGGTGGATCTGGCTGTGGGCGGCGTGTCAAGCTGCAGTCCTTTGGTTTCAGGTCTCCCAGGCGGCTGCCGAGCTTCAGCAGTACTGCATGCAGAATGCCTGCAAGGATGCCCTGCTGGTCGGAGTTCCAGCGGGCAGCAACCCCTTCCGGGAGCCCAGGTCCTGTGCTTTACTCTGAAGACTGGTGAGTCTTGATCCACCATGCCGGCTTGGGGCCATGCCACTATCACAGGGCTTCCCAGAGGATTTGGGCAACTGTGTTTTGAATATCTACTATTCTTGGGGGAATTAAAAAGAAAAACAGCCAAATGCACAACTATCCCTGAAGGGTGACTCTAGTCTCTATTTACCCTGCCTGTGCATTGCATCTAATTAAGAGAGTCTCAATCCTCTTGGGCACTAACTCATAAGATGTTAATATCTTCATGTACTTGAGCTCTTTGACTGAGTTAGCTGGTGGTCATTGCTTGACCTTAATCCTACTCTCTCTGTCCTTACACCATCCCAGAGTTGTCATTTGCTGCTTGGTGCTATCAACCCACTTGCTGCTCTTGGGACAAAAGACTCCCCAGAGGAAGAGAGTTGTTCCTACTACCAGCTGTGATGTCTTTCAAAGGCTTCAGAATACATCTCTGTTTCACTTATTTAATATTTTTATTGGTTTCAGAGAGGAAGGGAGAAGGAGAGAGAAATATCAATGATGGGAGAGAATCATTGGTTGGCTGTCTCCTGCACGCCCCCTACTGGGGATCAAGCCCATAACTCAGGCATGTGCCCTGACTGGGAATTGAACAGTGACCTCCTGGTTCATAGGTTGACGCTTAACCACTGAGCCAAACTGGCCAGGCTATCTCTGTGTTTTAATGGAGGAAGCTTTAATGTAGCTACTGGGGGAAAGTGTGAGTCTGGTTAAAAGAGCTTTAAAAGCCGATTATTGAAATGAAAATATCTCTTTGGTGGCATATTAGAAATGTCATGGGTTCTAATGCATTATGTGGGGTCTAATTCACATTTTCCCTTTTTTCTTTTTTTGGAAGAGTTCAGTGAGTAGATTATTAGAGTCTTTTGGGGCCAACATATTCAAATTTTGTGTTTGAATGGGTTTTCATACAGTAAATAATCATCTTAGGTCCGTTTTCATACATATAAAGGAAATTATGCATATTAAAAAGAAGTAATCATACTATCAGGTACTGTTGTACCTTTTAATAAAAAATGCCCACATTTATGGTATCAAAGTAGTAGTTACATGCTGGCTTGGCATTTTTCTTTTTACAGAGCACTTTCATGGGTGCTATTCCTTCAGTGGTGTGGTTTGAATGGGTTTTTAAAATTAACTTGTTACTCTCTGCTTTGAGAATACTAAAGTGTCCTATGAAATGCTGTTAATTTCATGTGTAAATCTTACTAAAGTGAAAATGAACCAAATTCTCTTTCCATTAGGAAAGAAGTTCGCAAAGGAAGCCTTCAGGCACAAAGTGATGAATGACTGCCTCCAAGTCTCACGAAAACATTTTTCTCTAACCAAACGACTTACATATTCAGACCTTCCCTGCGGCCTGGTCCTACAGCCAAAATTCTACAGAAATTGATGAGTTTCAACTCAAATTAGGAAACTGGGTGAAGGAGGAGACTTTTAAATAATAATAATGGCCTGGTTTGTTTGGTGAAGTGCTTTATACTTAAGACAAAAACCCTACCACCAAATATACAAAAATGCACCTCTTTTGTAAGTGAATTATTGGTGTTTCTAGACCTGAAATATTATGTATGTTTTATTTACTGATGTTTACATTTTGGGAAGGAAAACATTTTTATTAAAAAATTGAATACTTGTAATTTGTTGTTCCTAAGATTTTTACACCAAAACAAAATGTGTCCTTTTCTCATGAATTTATAATTTCAAAATGAAGGCAAGACAGTGTAAAAGTGGGGGAAAGAACAGACTTTATTAATCAAGTGATGTCTTGATTTTTGTAAGTGAGAAGATTGTTTTATTTTAACACTAAATATGGAAGCTGTTTCTTAGCAAACTTGTTTGGAAAGATTAATGTGTTGTGTATTAGATCTCCCCGTTTTGTGTATGCCACAGATCTGATCTTTGTCTTCTTAAGTTCCTCTACTTCATAGTTGTGGTTATACTTTAAAAAAAACACTACATTATCTCATAGCTTTGAAATGTTTAAAATGTGACTTACAGAACACTGCAAATGATTAAAAGCAAAGCAATGTGAAAATCTTACAAGCTAAATGGATTCTTAATGTCATAAGTGTTTTACTTTGATGATGTGCCTTTGATTTGAGACACTAAAATGGATACTTTATTTGTGTTTGTAATAATTTTTGAAGAGCTTGGAAATAAAGTTTCTGCTTAACTCATTATTTTCTATGACAGGAACATTTGGTGTCTGATTTTGTTTTAAGGTTTCACAGATTTCTGTTTGCTTGTGAGATTGAATGCTGGAAGTGGGAGATACAAATTTTTGTTTATAAGTACTTGTAGAATTTTATAAATAGTATATGTATAACATACAGAAATATCTCAATTGCTGGCATTTGCTCTTGAAATAACTATGTGTAAAACCATAAGTAAATAAACGAAAATATTTTTTGAGCGTAAGTATTGTTACACTAGAGAAAATAGAAGCCATTAGGTGGGTACTCCCTTAAGTTCTGGCCACTAAACTTCCAAATCTAAGCAATTTGAATTCCTTTCATTCGATCATAATTCAGGTGTCCCTTTCTAGCCCTTGTATGTGTTCTCTGGGTCTGATTCACCTTCTCTGAAATGTCACACTGTCAATTATCCTTTCTCTCCTTTCTCTTCAGCTTCTCCATTGGATCTTTTCTATCACCATTTAAACATGTTCCATTCTCCATCTTAACGATAACAAGCATTTTTAAAAATCTCCATTAACAAACAAATTTCGGTTTACAAGACGAGTAAGTCCTAGAGATCTGCTTACAGCCTAGTGCCTATAATTAACAATACTCTATTGTATACTTAAAAATTTGCTAACAATGCAGATTTAATGTTAACTGTTCTTATCACAAAAATAATAAATAAGAGGGCAGGGGGAACCTTTTGGAGGTGGTGGCTAGGTTCATGGCATAGATTGTGATGATGGTTTCACTTATCTCCAAACTCATCAAGTTGTAAACATTAATTATGTACAGGTTTTAATGTGTAAAATAGAAACAACTCACAAGAACTTCTCCTATTCCACTTTTTCCTTCAGCAAAATCTTGGCACTATAGTACAAGAAAACTAGAGACATCTCACAAACAGATGCAAATGACCTAAATATAAACAAATCAAATCTAATAATATATCAAGAGGAGATACAATGTAACAAAGCTAGTTCAATATAAGGAAATCTATCAATGCAATTCATTCCATGAATGGTTTAAAGAAGAGAATCTATGCCAACAAGTCATTTGATAAAATTCAGTGGTTGTTCTGAATAAAAACTAAGTGGACTAATGACATAGGAAAGTATACATAGAAAAATAAGCATTTTCTACATTGGCAATAGCTATTTAGAAATGGAAATGGAAACTATATCTCATTTCCACTTTAATGACAAAATGATAAAAAATACTTGAGAATTTAACAAAAGTTGCAAGTCATAAAGAAAAGCTTTTATTGCTGTTTATAGAACAGGGTCTACATAAATTAAAGTTCAATAATATCATTAAATCTCAATTTCATATAAACTTTAGTGGCATTCCTATTTTATTTCTTTTGAGGAAAACTGGTTAAAATATCTAAAAGTTCATATGGAAAAATCAAGAGTCCAAGATAGTTTTTAAAACTGTGTGTGTGTATGTGTGTGTGTGTGTGTGTGTGTGTGTGTGTGTGTGTATTTAAAAACAAGGAAGGGTGAAACTTGCCTTACTAGTTCTTAAAATTTACTTTGCCTAGCCAGTGTGGCTCAGGGGTTGAGCGTCAACCTATGAACCAGGAGGTCACGGTTCAGTTCCCAGTCAAGGGTACATGCCTAGGATGAAGGCTCAATCCCCAGTAGAGGGCGTGAAGGAGGCAGCCAATCAATGATTCTCTCTCATCACTGATGTTTCTACCTCTCTCCCTCTTCCCTTCCTCTCTTTTGAAATCTGGCTGGGTAGCTCAGTTGGTTAGAGCATTGTCCCAATAAGCCAGGGTTATGGGTTCCCTACCCAGTCAAGGCACATACAAGTATCAACCAATGAATGTATGAATAAGTGGAACAACAAAGCTCTCTCTCTCTCTCTCTCTCTCTCTCTCTCTCTCTCAAAAACCAATAAATAAAAATTTTTAACAAAGTAAAAAAAAAGTTTTACTTTTAAGCTGCTGAATCAAAATAAAATGATTTTAAAAATGAAAAAAACACAAAATAAACTATTATTGTGGTATAGGAATAGGCCAATAGATGAATGGATTATAATTGTTCAGAAATAACTGACTTTTTTCCCCCTATTCAGTGGGAAAGTATGGTTTAATTAGTAAATGGTGCTGCCATTATTGGCTATCCATTTGGAAGAAAATAAAATTGGGTCTGTATTACACTATGTAAAAAAACCCACATGGGTTAAAGAAAGATAATACAAAAGCATTAGAAGAAAAATTAAGATATTAATTATACAGGTTTAGGGTAAAAGCTGTCTTCGTAAGCAAGGCAGGAAACCCAGAAATCAAAAGAGAAAAGACATCTACACTTGCCTATACCAAATTAAATTTAAAAAAATTAAATAAGTAAGGCATTTCACTTAAGTGTTAAATTAGTAACTGTTGTATGGTAAACATAATAACCAACCAAATAAAGAAGCAAAAGACAGAAAAACATATTTTTTTCAGCCTTCATTTTGTATTGCTACAATCTGCATTCCCCATCCCCTTCAACTCAGGCTACTCCATTTGTTGGATCCCTTGTTTTAGGGTGGGGTTCAATATTTGGGGAGAATATCCAGGCTCCTACAATGAGAGGCAAGGGGTGGGACACCCCAGTGTTGATCCCAGGGGTATGATGTTTCAGTGGAAAGAGGAGTATCTTATGTCCATCACAATTGGAGAGACAGGTGATATTCTGGTGAGGTCTACTAAGTTTGAACTGAGCTTTGGAACTTGGGAGTAAGGCCTCTCACAAGACCTCAAAGGTCAGCATCACTATCGCCAGCAATGAACCTAAATGCAAGGAACTCCCTCTAACATGAAAAGCTCACAGGAAAATGAAATACTCTCAGAGAAAGAATCGAAATTTCTATTGCAAGAGCCAATCTGGGGAGTTGGGGCTGTTCTAATCAATTCCATGTGATGAGGTGTTTGGGAAAGGACCTTGGAGGCTGAACTCACACTTTTGGCTCCCTAACAAGGGTCTATCCAGAATATTTGAATATGCAAACTATGGAGCAGAATGTATATTATGAACATTTAATATAGAAAACCGAGAACATCTAAGAACAATTGCATTTTCTTTAAGGTATGACCAACTCTAAATCATTCTGTGGTTGATCTATCAACAAAAACAATGGAATGTGGCATGTAGCACTATTCTTTCTTTTTCAAAAAAACCTCAGACGAGTTTGTCCATCAGCTCTACCAGGGACTTTTTCATACACTAGACGTCGCTTTTTGAATTGTGGTAGTTGTGAACTCGTGAGATCTGTTAAAAGGAGAAAAAGGAAAACCATTTTAGTGCTGAAATTAATAAAGTGTAGCTATTTTTTCCAACTATTCAAATGGATCTTGTCTTTTCATCATCTGAAGTTTTAAAATTTTCAAATTGGGATAAAATAATGACTATTAAAATTAAATTTTTAGCATAAACGCATCTATACCTAATGGCCCAGTAGTAATTAGTGTTATAAACACATATTTGTATGGCCATACCTTACACAAATAACTAAATCTCTCCTGATTTAAGACTCTTGCTTTTAAGTTTTCCCTCAGTAAGCCTGTTCTTTAACCCATACATGTAATGTTGTAAAATGTATCCTGAACTAGTATAGATGGTGGTGATGTGTAGACTCATCTTACATGACTGTATTCTATATGATATACACTAGCCTGAAATAGCCTAGATTGATTAAATCAGTATAAAAGGAGGCTAAAAATTTAAAACCATTCTAGGATTATTCCTGGAAATATATAATCTCATAATTGCAAAAGTTGGATGCCATTATAAGCAAATTAAAAAAAACAACAATGTAGTAGATAGTTTTGTCATAGATATCACAAATAATACACTTAAAGGACAAATGGAAATTATCTTGAAGTTATGCTAATGGCTTTGAATAAATTTTTTAGGGCTGCATCAATATGAATTCAAAATGTGTTATATATTAAACATATTTGGAGATAATGATGTGCTAGGAAAAACCACAGTAAAAAGTCAAAAGTTGCCATAGTGATATGAAGATACTATCATCAAAGATTTATGTGAACTATTTGAATGAAATTACTTTATGAAAATAATTGGAAAGTATTTATATATAATTTAAAAATATATATATTTATAACTAAATTAATGACTATTCCATCTATATCCTAAAAGCTTAAATATTAAAATTTATTTAAAAATATTTTCTGAAGTCTCATTGAGAAAATGGGAGGATTATTCTATATTGGGGGCCCTATATTCAGGAACATACAATAATTTGCATGCTTAATTTGTTCCAGGGTGGAAAAAAGATGGAATTTTCATCCAGTTCATTTATGAAGCTGGAATAATCCTCATGTCAAAATGCAACAAAGCACAAATAACACAATAGATTAATTTCATTATGTATATAGGTATGAAAATCATAAATATTAGCAACCATGTTTAGCATATTTTAAAAATCACCCCTCAAAACCAATTCAATTTATTACAGAAATGGCAAAAACGGTTTAACACTATTAAACTTGTCAGTACAATCCTTGACATTAATAAGTCAGTGGAGAAAACATGCTTGATTTATCCCAATAGGTGCCAAAAAAAGTTTATAAAATTCAGCATCTGTTCCTCATAATAGTTCTTACAAAACTAGGGATAAAATACTTAGTAAAATCAAGAACAAAGAAATTATGACTATTATGACTATTAAAGGGGATCAAATCCAAGTTTTGTGAGTCCTGGAGGTTCTCTTTTAATAAAAGAAAGAATATAAGATTTTCAGGACCCCTCTCAGGTTTCACAAAAGGGCCTACGCAAAAGAGGAGCTTTGAAGCTTAAGCTTCTCCCTTTTTTTCTCCCATCATGGCAAGGTCACCTTGTATGACCATTAGAACTTAACATTTTGTTCTAGATGTTCAGGAGGTAGCAATAAGAAATGACACAAAAGAAAGGTATAATTACCATAAATGAGGAAATAAAATTGTCCTTTAAAATTTTGATATGATTAAATGTTCAGAAACATGAATTGCATAATAGAGCT